AGCAGTAGTTATGTGCCCAGTCCATCATCATTATGGTATAAATCATTGGCAATACAGCTGCAAATACTTTGCCCGCTTACCAGATGAGTTACATGTGAGAATTTTGAACATCTTTCAAATCAATTTCAAAGAAAGATCTTACGAGATATTTCAAGAAAGATTGAAAAAAGTTCAAATCGTTCGAATTGACGTAAGACTATATTTATTCCACACTCACATTCAGAATAGACTCAGTCACAGGGAAACAAATATGGCAAAAGACTCCATAATGAAAGTGCCCTATGTGTGTCTCGCTCAGAGCTTATAAAAGCATTCTATAACAGATAAGCAAGATAAACGAAAATCAACTTTCTTCCGCATCATTTTAAACTGCCATCTAACTATTCAGCATTCGTTAAGCGCGGACTGCTACACTCATATATACAGCTCCCTTATTAGGACATTGGACTCTTCTTTGAAAAAATTAAAATAGTTTTATTAGACGTACTGCTCGAGACAAACATCTTTCCCAATTCATAACTAAAAGTAAAGTGAAAAATCTTAACCCACTTCACAATTAAGAATATAGACCACAATGCAGATTCAACTTACGCGTTTATCTACGTACTTTCAAAAATAAAAAAGAATCATATATTCATTGCTACGCACTAATATATCCTCTTACCTGATTCAAAATCGAAAAATAAACACGGTGACACATCAACACCGAAAGACAGAAGCACTTTCCCGTCCTTCTAAGAAACATCAATGATGGGTCTTCGATCGAATAATCGTTGTATATTTCAACTAATTACACGCTCACGTAGCAGTATACCATATGAGCACACTGAAGAAAGAACCATTTTAAAACGCCACTTCTCAATTCACTAGTAAAATACTAGCCAGAAAACAAAGTTCTTAAAAGTAAGCATATTTTGTGTTTTTTCTCCTCTTATACCTTTTATTTGTGGCAATTCAAAATCTATATCGGTAGTTTTCAGCTGAAAGATCTTCGACAATGCGCACTAAATTATAAAGTATTGTTTCTACTTGTTGCAAGTTATAATGTTGGCGATTCGATTATGAAAACGACATAAAATTAGAATTTGTCGCAAAAAAAACGACCCGGTTCCATTTGCCCGCTATTCATTCACGTTTTGTTTTATAGAAGCATCTCTATATAACCAATTTCACTTAAGATAGAAAACTTATATATTTTCATACAGATTTTTGTTGAAGACTATTCCCAATCTCGATCCAAAGCCTGTTTCGTTCTTTCTGGGTATTTATCCCTTAATCAATATATTTGAGCATAATTAATTAGGATTGAGTTTGAAAGATCTTTTGGAGAAACTAACCCAGTTCACATTTATTCGATTTTAGTGTGCCCCTATTGCGTTTTCGTTCACTAAAATCAATCCGACAAGGATCCCCTAATTTCCGTGTGCTCACTACTCAATCACCGATTTGTTTTGGAGAAAGTTCTCTATATACGTAAGTAACTTCACTTTAGATAGAAAACTTATATATTTTCATACAGAATCTCATCAGAATTATTCCAGCTGATTTCTTCACCAGCTACCACTCGATACATGACCGTCAGCATTGTTTCTGGCTAATTAAACAATAATTAGGGTATTTCAAAGTCTCACTCATTAAGATTTAAAAAGTTCTCTTAAGGTAAGTACTTAGCAAAATCTTGTCAAACATAAATTTTTCAAGCTGAAATGTTGTAAATCCGTTAAAGACAATGTGGTACAAATAAATTCAACTTATTCTTTGCGGCGACTATCAAGTCTGCATTGTATTTTATACTAAAAGCTACATATATTCCACATGATTCTAGACTCGAATCTTAGAAGTTTTTCATCCTATTTTGCATTCTCCATCATCTATTACGCAGCAAAATTAGTCTCAACTCATCAATCTCAGTATTCTATACCTCTCAAATGCACTTTACCCAGGTATTGGAAAGCATAATTACTGACACTTCAACGGTAGAGTCATTAGAAGCTCTTTCTCGCATAATATCTCTTATCTCAGATATTTAACGATCTCATTCATACCGTACCAAATAGAAATGTCTGCAAAAAAATTTCTAAGTCAATATCTTTGCTTTGAAGCATTTCGAAGCATTATTTAGTGCACTTTGCCTGCAACCATCGTTCCAAATCCTTCTTCATGAATCTCAATTATGTCCAGCATTTTAAATACTCATTCCTCGCAATTCACCCACAAACTACTTTAAATGTCGTTTTATATGAGAAAAAAAAATCAAGGAGTCTTCGGAAGACTTCAATTAAGCTGCTGAGGAAAAGGATCCTTTTAATAACAATGATTGAATGGTGCTTTCCCATACCTCAAATGAAAGGTAATGAATTAAAAATACCTTTAAGAGTCTTTCCCCCGCTAATTCCGAGGAAAGAATCCTCAAATTATCTGAAGGTTGTAGTGGGGAGCTGGGGATCTCTACGGGTGTGGTATGGTTTAGAGAATGATTGTCAAGCAGTGCGTTAGTTTATTGGCATGGAGGAAGCTGGCTGGTCATGTAGTTAGTTGGTGGTGCGACTATGATTGGTGAGTAGGTGCATCTGTGTGAGGAAATATTCGCGAGATCTCAATAAGACTGGAACTTCCGGAGTTTTCCCAGGTGGAAACGATCGGATTTAGTTATTTCCGTATAGTTTTCCGATAGTATTCCGTGTGATTACGGGGCGGTTCCGGTAATTTTTCCGAATGGTTATGGTGGCGGGAATAGTGCGAAACACTCCGGTTACAATACGGGGATTTCCAAACGGAATACTGCTTCCAACTTCCGGATAGTTTTCCGGTCCGTTTCCGGTTGGAATGTCGTTGGAAATCACCGGAAGTAGCGGGAAATAACGCCGTTTCCCGCCGTTTCCCGTTGGTTCCGGAGTCCGGAATCATCGACCTGGGGCATTATAAATTTAATTATGCCATTACTGGATGAATAATTGTTTTGAGAATCTGTATGTTGTATTTCTATATAAAGATCAATATCAACTAACTCACTTATCAATTCTGTAGTAGTTATAAGTTATAATACAAATCTATGATAGTGAGACACAATAAGTTAATGATGTGAAGCATAATTTGTAACTTGTTGCCTTCGTTCATTGCAACAGGAATAATTCACATTCATAATAAAAACAGCAAATGATTGAATGAAATTTCAGATTTTTGTCGTTCTTATGAAAAAGAGAAAAAATAAACAATGCTGTAGGCGAGACAACGAATATAATGTCACTTGAATTTTTGTCTAGATGAAAAACAAACGAAAGTTGGAAAGAATGGCAATGTTTGAACTTTTTGTTCTTTCTTTTGTTTGCTAACTACTGTATTTTCAACTGTGAGGTGCTCTTTTCAGGATGTCTCTAATTAGTCTTTATTTTATTTTTACTCTCAGTCAGTGATGCATCTTCTTTAGATTAATCCATCTTATGTTGAGAACTCACGTAAATAATTAGTTTATCTTGTTTAAGTATATGGATAATCAACGATTTTTAATGTGATCAATTGATGGAATCAGTTGATTGAAGGAAAAAGTAGATTTATGTAAATAACGATAACAGTGATGAAAAAATAATAAATCCTACAAATAAATATAAGGATAGCCCCTTATACATACGAATGAAAAAACTAAACGACGCAATAACGAAAAGCATAGCTAAGCCAAAAAGGTCACATGATCTCAATCATGAGAAGGATTATCCATATCAAATAGACAAGAAGTAAGAAAGATGTATTTCAATGATATGGATAAGTTAGCGCCATGAAGTGACATCTAGTGACGTTAACATAAACTGTGAAATCAGGTGGAGTTTCTTGCTGTGACAACCAGAAAAAAAACGCTCAGTTTCTATGCCGCCGAAAAATCAAGAAAAAAAGAAAAAGTAGCGACTATAGAAATAGAAACAGTAATTTCTGTATAAATAACAAAAACTCTATCACAATTTTCTACTTCGATCAAGCAACAAAACGTATTCAGCATGAGTGGATAAAAAGTCAAGTCTACTGCTTCAAGTAGAGCAACAACATCAGATGCCATGCAACCAAGACGTCGGATGGTTCAGAATTATCTGGTCATTTGGGTCGATGATAACATCGATGAAAACAATGAAGACTGCCGGAATACGCTCGCACAATTGCGTGCAGCGGTAAGTGAAGTGAACATGTACTCGAAGGATGTATCGATTTCCTCAATGAAATGGATGAAGGAAAAGCTTTCGTCATTTCATCTGGTGCCTTAGGACAAAGCCTCGTACAGGACATTCACAGCATGCCAAAAGTGGATGTCATTTATATTTTTTGCGGCAACAAAGCACGCCATGAACCATGGGCGAAAGATTGGCCAAAGATTCGAGGTGTTTTCACCTCAATCAAACCAATATGTGAATCTCTGAAAAAGGTCGCCCGTGAATGCGACCATGATTCGATTCCGATGAGCTTCGTTCCGAAGCGATGCACGTCAGATATAGCATTAAACGAACAAAATCTTAACCAATTACCGCCAGCCTATATGTACTCGGTAATTTTCAAGGACATCGTATTAGAAATCGATGATGATGATGCCAACTCTCTGAAAACTTTAGAAATTTATTGCAAAAAACAAAATATTCCTGAAACAGAAATGCATGAACTAAAGCGTAGATACCATCAGAAATCACCGGTCTGGTGGGATACATGTGAAATGTTTCTCTATGGCATGCTTAATCGTGGGTTACGATTGCTTGATATGGAATCGATGTCTAAGTTAGGCTTTTTTATTCGAAGTTTACATCTTCAACTGAAACAATTGCATCAGGAACAATCGGCGAATTTTAAGAAATCATTTACCGTTTATCGTGGTCAGGGAATGAGCAAAGAAGATTTTCAGAATCTACTAGATTCAAAAGGTGGTCTACTATCGTTCAATAATTTCCTATCAACAAGTATGGAACCAAAAGTGGGCATGGAATTTGTTGAACGTGCTCTTCAAAAAAATCACGACATTGTTGGTGTTAATTTTATTATGACTATTGATCAAAGTAAAATATCAACTTCGAATACCCCATTTGCTATGATTGATGAACACAGTGCTATTCCATCAGAACAAGAAATACTATTTACAATGCATACTGTTTTCGCGTCGTTGAAATTAAACAGACGCCTAAGAACAATCGTCTTTGGGAAGTACACTTGACTATTACTGATGATAATGATCCACAACTTTCTACTCTTACCAATCGCATCAAACAGGAGATCAACGGTGAAGGGTGGGATCGAATGGGTAAATTGATGCTCAAAGTGGGTCATTTCAATCAAGCTCAAGAACTCTACAATGAATTACTCGAGAATGCCTCTATTGATAGCAATAGAGCACATATCTATCATCAGCTTGGATGGTTGAAAGACGATCAAGACAAATACCCCGAAGCAGCTAAATTCTACGAAAAATGCCTCGAAATCTATCGGAAAACTCTTCCAGAAAATGATGTTTCATTAGCTTTTACTTATGGTAACATCGGTCTAGTGTATAAAAACATGGGTGAATACTCGAAAGCACTTGAATTTTACGACAAAGCAAATAAAATCAATTAGCAATCACTTCTTGCTAATCATCCTCACATAGCGTCTGGCTACAACAACATTGGTACGACGTATTACAGAATGGGTGAATACTCGAAAGCACTTCCACTTCTAGAANTGTTGCTTGATACTAAGGATTCAAAAGGTGGTCTACTATCGTTCAATAATTTTCTATCAACAAGTATGGAACGAAAAGTGGGCATGGAATTTGTTGAACGTACTATGAAAAAGAACCAAGACATTGTTGGCGTTATTTTTATTATGACTATTGATCAAATTAAAATATCACCTTCGAATACTCCATTTGCTATGATCGATGAACACAGTGCTATTCCATCAGAACAAGAAATACTCTTTACAATGCACACTGTTTTTCGTGTCGTTGAAATTAAACAGACACCTAAGAATAATCGTCTTTGGGAAGTACACTTGACTATTACTGATGAAAATGATCCACAACTTTCTACTCTTACCAATCGCATTAAAGAGGAGGTTCGAGGTTCGACTGGATGGTATCGAATGGGCAAATTAATGCTCCAACTGGGTCATTTCAATCAAGCTGAAGAACTCTACAATGAATTACTCAAGAATGCCTCTACTGATAGCGATAGAGCATTTATCTATCACATGCTTGGATACTTGAAAAACAATCAAGGCAAATACCCAGAAGCAATTAAATTCTACGAAAAATCACTCACAATCAGAGAAATATCTCTGCCTGCGAATCATCCCTCTTTGACTACTTCCTACAACAACATCGGTAGTGTGTATGAAAACATGGGNAAATATCTCTGCCTGATAATCATCCCGCTTTGGCTACTTCCTAGCACAACAGCGGTCTTGTGTATAACAACATTGGTGAAGATTCGAAAGCACTTGAATTTTACGAAAAAGATCTCGAAATAACGAAAAAAGCTCTGCCTCCGAATCATCCCTCTTTGGCTACTTCCTACAACAACATCGGTGTAGTGTATTACAACATGGGTGAATACTCGAAAGCACTTTCCTATCTAGAAAAGACACTTAGTATTAAACAAAAGTCACTTCCTTCAACACATCCCAGCATTAAGAACGTAATGAATAGTATAGCAGCAGTGAAAAAGAAGTTGTAAATGTTTGTTTTCTCTTGTACATTAGCTTAATAAAATAGTTTGAATGATCATTAATTAATATATAATAGTCGTGCGGGCGACCAGGAAGAGCCCCCCCCCCCTGGTCAGGGGTGTGGGTGTCAGCAATCATACTCCATTTAATCGAGAACCACACTTCTTGACAGTATTTTTTGAAGGTGAAATCTTCCATACATCCGGTGGCGAGTGCGGTCGCATTTCTATATGTTTTTCTGTATAAAAACATTTTATTATCTGGCTTTTCTTCTTATGCCTGACTTTTTTCAAAGTTCTTCTGAAAGAAATACTCTATTGAGGAAGTTACTATTATGTGAATATTTTCAAAAACAAATACGGATCGTATTTTTTTTAGAGCTCATTAAAATTGTTTTATTATCAATAAGAAAATCTTGACAGAAATGAGAAAACCGAAAAGTATCTTATCTTTATTTGAATATCGACATAAAATATATTCTTAACTATTTCCCTGATGATGAACAAATCTTTTAACACAATTGAAATATTAGATATATTTTATATTAAACTGTGATGAAGTACTTACTACTCATCTGAGACAGCAGGTAGAGACTGCCTTTCTTTCAATCCTCATGGAATCTAGAAACTTAACTCATCTGATAGAACAATACGCTACAATGATGTGCTGATGGCAGTCAATTTTTTTCTTACTTTTCTATATCATATAGAGGCTAATAGAAGAGACGTTTCCATCAGTTTTTTAAAAATCTAGAATCTAGAGTTAATCGATTCGATCAATGGTACTTGATGTGTACCGATCGAAATCTGGTCTTCATAAGCTTCAGATATTATTTCTTTGAGTAATATTTTAATAACTAAATGAAGTAAATTCATTGCAAATATCAATTGTAGAGCATATATGACCCATTTTTCCTTCGTAACAAAGAAAAATCTGTATCTCATATATTTACATACGCAACTCTAAGAACATCTTTTACTATCAATTGATATAGATAAAAATTGATAGGGTTTTATTTTTATGACAATGCGATACTTCGGTTCTCGATATTTATCTTTGAATCCATTCACACCCACACCCTTTTCATATTTAGATAAAATCAGGTATTATTGAACTTTTATCAGGCTTCAAATCCTAAGAAACAAATTATTTGAATAAAGAAGAAGAACTTCCACGTGGTGTCGACGACTTAAAACGTATGCAACAAGAACATATATCCTTATTATAGATACAAATTTACTAGCATCCTCGTTTAATGATCTTGATGAAGAACATGTTGCATGGTTGAAAAAGAAGAGTACAAAGATGACATCACCGATTGTCGAATGATTTCGCATGTTATACAATCAACTATGTTTTATTCTTACGTTTTTTGTTTAGAAGAACTCAGTGATCGTGTATATGTTCTTGATAAGAACTGATTTATTTTCTTCTACTCAAATATTTACATATTTTCAGTAACTTTGCCAGATAATTTTAGTCTATTCCAGTGAGTAGCACTTGTTATGATGATCCAACAAAAGATCATTCAGAACAAGCCGCCTCGACGGTTGTTCCTAACAATCAAACGCATGCCAAGGTATGTAGTTTTTATCTTTTAAATGCTAGGTTCATCTAGTTTATTTTTTTTCTTGTAGGAAATATTGTTAAAATTGTGTGATGAATTACGACTGAATTTAACATTGACAACTGGTAGGGCGAGGATCAATCCCGATGATATTACACCAGAAGTATGATTGCTTGTACTCTTTTCTATTATTTAATAGACTCATTCCTGCTTTAGGAGACGAGTTAAGTTATTAATAAGGAAATGCCTGGTCTAGCACAAACAATGGTTGTGAAGTCATTAGTAATTATTCACGTGGCAATGCTTTCGAGGTGAAATTCATTCTGTCTTTTCTATCTAGACTAATTTGTGGCATTTATCAAGAAACATTAATTATTATTCTTTCTTATATGACCCCCCTATCCATCACTGTTTCAATTTATTCTTTTTATAGAGTAGTTACAGTATATTTTCTGTTGTGTTTTGTTTAGTAACTACAATAAGATTTAAATCTGATAATATATTTATTTCATTGTTTAATGATGTATTTCTCATTGATCTTGTATGCTATTCAACTAGCAGTGGGTTTCAAAGAAAAATGTTGTATTGATATCGTTTAAAATAAGTATTTGTCCAGAGAAATTCATCAAAAATCTTAATACTATATCTTTTCATAGATTTACTTTCATAATTCTGATTATACAGTTTCATCTAGTCGTTTGCATCGCTTGAAAAATCAAAATAATTTGTTCATATCTTATAATTCAACAATTAACTATTTTATCTCAAATAAAAGTGAGACTCATTCTCAATTTTTAAGTAACAACAACATATGTAGGAAGTAGAATTTTATTTTTCGTTTGCTATTTTATTCACCACGTGACTATGTTCGTTGCAAACAATAGGATGAAAAATCGAACTTACAATGCCTATTAATTTTTTCGTTCTTGTTTCGAAAACGAGAGATGTATAACATTCGAGTCTATGGTAATTATAAAAATCAAAATGATTTTCTTTTTAGTCGAAAAAATGAGAATACTAGAAAAGTAATTTTTGTAACAAATAGCCCTGATATGAATCCACTGGACTGGATATCTATGTTTTAATTCATCCTTTGATTATACGGGAGATATTAACACGAAGCGAAGGCAAAACAGGTCTTGATAAATTGCCGAAAGATCTAAGGCAAGAAAAAATCGATGTTTATACATTTCTTCAGCAATCTCTGTTTAAATATTCTCACTTCATATTTTCACTTACTCTGTTCAAAGAAGTATGAAAAAAAAGAAAAGAAATTTTTACTTCGTTAAATGTTGCCAGTTGTCAATGCATCTTTTTGTTATTCATAGTTAAATTTTAAGAAGAAAACAAGAAAGATTCATGTATTCAACATTTTGATCAATTGTTTTATTCACGCAGTAAACTAATGTCTTTTTGGAAGTGTATCGAATATACACTACATGCAATGGTGATATTTTCTTCATTTCTTTTTATTATTGATCAACTTAATACAATCATATATGATTCTCTTGGAGTTGATAGTAACGCAAATTAGTGATAAATGCGTCTTATAATCATAAAATGCACTGATAAGTATTTATTACTACTCGTAGCTCAGATCGATAAGACGTTGATAGTATCAATAGTTCAATATCGACTTCTGCTGAAACGTTTTTTATAATTTATTTGTTTCATTCAAATCCATTTATTATGTAGAGCTGTAGCGACTTATTTTCTATAGATTGTAAGATTATCTATGACATTGTGATGCAAATAAAAATGCAACAATTTTTGAATCGGACGAAACACGATTGGATTATAATTTGTTCAAAAATGAATATATAAAAGAAACCAATGTAAATTAGAAATCCGAAGAAATTTTCCTTTTTTAGATAGATTTTAGTAAGGATTAATTTGATATAATATTTTGATACTATATTAACATCATTCAAATTACGTTACGATTACGAAAACCTTGATAGAGCCTGCATGAATTCAAATGTACATGGCATGATTGTTTTAAGAAAGCATATCAATGCACAATATAAATGAACGTACTTGAAAGAAACCTTAGAGAACTCACTAAAGGAAAATTTTGATTTATCTCAGTGATGATAAAAAAATTGAATCAGGAATTTCCATATCGATGTAGTACAGATTAAGAACTTCAACTAGTTAACTCTTTGCTTCTTCAGTAGTTACACGAGTTATGCTCAACCCATTGTATCAAAATTGAAGCACAATAATGATAGCTATTGTTTTCTTTAATCATTCCTTAATTAAGAGAAGTATAGTAGTGACATAAAAGTTATCTTTGGTTTAATCAAAACTTAATTCTATTGTCTTCCCTCATTTAAACAAAAAATAATTATACACACATAAAAAACAACCAAACTGATGAACTCTTTGCTCATTTTTTTCGTTCTTGACAACCCACGATAAAAAATTGGTTAAAAAAACGCAGTTAACCGCGGTTTCAAGGGATATTTCGAAAACGCGGGAGCCAGACCGTTTTTTCAAACACTGAAAACTGCGCCTTTTTAAAAGCGCGTCGTACCGCGTTTAAAAAAAACTAATAACCGGTCTGATTACCGTATTTTTTACAGGTGACCTGACCAATTCATTATGCTCAGATACTCTTCGTGGGGTAGTGAACTATAAGTTCCATTACTTCAAAGTCGCTCTGGAGCGACGAAGTTCATCTTAAACTTTGTAATACTTGAAACTAGGGATGTACCGAGACCGA